ACAACACTCCCCAGGACTTTACCATTAAGTGTATAAGTCCTGCCCTGATTTGCCTTTCCAAAATGCAACACCTTACATTTATCTAAACTAAAATCCATCCATCACTTCCTTGGCCCATCTGATTAAAGTCCTGTTGTACTCCGAGTACAAGTATAACAAGCAATTAGGAAAACAAATAGTATGTTGGTCTTCATTAAAAGATTTGATTTCAGAAGTAGGGATGTCTTACTGCAGATATACAGGGCCTCAGTAAAACCACACCTAAAATACTGCTTGTCATTTTGGTCTTCCTTCCAAAGAGAAGATATACTTGCTGCAAAGGGAGTGCAGTGGAGGTTCATTCTATTCATATTGGGGATGGCAGGACTGTTGTATGAGGAGAGATTGGTTCAACTGGGCCTGTATTAACTAAAATTTCAAAGGATGAGAGGGAATCTGGTTGAAATGTATACCACTTAAACATGACTATACAGACTAGACGCAGGAAGGATGTTTCCTCTGGTTGGGGGAGTCTAGAACAGGCACTTCTGGACTATGCTTTAATAGCAAGTCTTTTTCCAGTAGTCCCCAAGTTGTATGTTTCAAAGACCTGGATATTTCCTGAGAAGTGGCCAAACCAGGAACTGGGATTTTATTGGTTGATTGATTGAAAATGAACTGTGGGAAGCTGCACTGTCGGGATGGCCGTGACTCAGAGAGAGATGGTTCAGAGAAGTGTGACTTGCTGATGATAATTGTGCCCATAAGACTGAAAGGTAACAGTTGTTATTGATACTCCTAACCCAACCTGTGTGAATAAAAAGAAAAGCGTATTGTGGAATTGTGTAGCTATGCAGTGCCACATTTGTGCAGGTACTGATGCAAATACTTGTGCTCACATACAATATATCTTTATAAAAACTGAAAGAACTGCGGATGCTGTAAATCAGGAACAAAACAGAAGTTGCTGGAAAAGCTCAGCAGGTCTGGCAGCATATGTGAAGAAAAAAATCAGAGTTAACGTTTTGGGTCTGGTGACCATTCCTCAGAACATTTTTTGACAGAGATATTTAAGGAATGGTGAAAAGTTGTGCCTCAGAATAAGAAATGATTCACTCATTCCAGTCCATGGTGGAACACAAAGAAGTCATAGGAACAAGGTTCTGAGGAAGGGTCACCAGACCCGAAACATTAATTCTGAATTTTTCTTGCTAGATGCTGCCAGACCTGCTGAGCTTTTCCAGCAACTTCTGTTTTTGTTCCTAAGATATATCTTTGTTGTATTGACTATTTAGAATGAAACTCGTGTTTGAAAGATCACTTTTATCTATATACTTCCTGCACACCTCTCAGTGCTGGATGAAATGGTGATATTATAATGTGGTTAATTCCATTCTTGCTCTGATATATTCCAAGCTCTTCTGATGTAAACTGTGAGCCATTGTCTGACATCAGCATCTCCAGCAACCCATAAATCACTAAATAGCTTCTCAAAATCTCAGTAACTTTAGCTCTTTGGTATTAACTTTCAACATTTATCTACTTGCTGTAGCTATTGACCAAAACAATATATTCTTCCCTTCTATCTCAAATGTACTCAACATGTACTCGTTCCTATGATTTCCTTGTGTTTCACCATGGACTGGAATAAGTGGATCATTTCTTATTCTGAGACACAACTTTTCAGCAATTCTTAAATATCTTTGTCTACCTTTGGATACCAAATAAATGTTTTGGCTATTGTTTCTTATGGATTTTCTCTCTGTGCTCTTAATGAAATTCCTCTCTAACAAGCTCTCTATAAACCTCAGTGGAAATAATGACTGTTAAGTTCCTTAAGTCATGGCCTTGCAACAGAGTCAGTTCGTTACTGTGGGTGGAATGCTTCTGCACATTGAGAACGATACTGAATAGCACAGGCTTCACTGAGTTGCCTCACTAATTCCTCTGGCAATTGTGTATATAATGAAATTCACAGGGTGTTGTCATCAGCAATGACTTGCTAACAAGTATGATTGCCACCTATGAAATCCCATGTCACTGGTCCTGCTGATTTAACAACATTTAATATTGTGATGACTGGTACTTTTCATGCGGTCTTTGCTTGAAGAAAACTTTGCGCTCTCTTGGCACTTCCTCAATGACACAGGTACTTTGACTGATTGCTACTGTAAGTAACTCAGCCAATTTTAACTGTATCTACTTGAGCTAATTCTTTCTCATCAGGCAAACATTGCTCCCTCCTACTATAACCAATATAATAAATAGGATGTACCATCATATCCCACCCTAATGACAACTTGACCTAACTGGGGAATTCTGTTCTTGGAATGACGTGTCAAATTCATAGCTGTTTTGAGCAAGAGAATGTGACTAAGTGAATTCTTGTACATTCCTTCACAGATAACAGACACACTGCAATTGTAATTGTCTGATTTCTACTTCTACAGTGTTTGTTGGTATTTTATGATCAACCCTATTGCTCTCGTCTTCAATGAGTTGGTGTTCTTACTCAGTGTCCTCCTGCTTGTTAACATCAATTTCTGTTTCCATCCGTCATATGTATATTTGAGGATTTCCTTACTTCAATATTTGCTTTAAATTTGGTTTTAATCTAATGCATTGCTGCAATGTGAAGCTTTGCCATGACCTGAAGCATTGCTGGTTCCTCTATCCCCACATGGTATCTGGATGTGACTGATCTTCCCACAGCCTTTCCCACTTTGACTGGAAATGGACACTTAAGTGGTCAGTAACTATCACGGCAATAGGAAGATCTACATTTCTGCTCCTCAGTTTGAGAACCTGGCTGCTATGACCTGGAACTTGCTGAAATCTGTCAGCTCAGAAAAAGAACTCCCTTACAATCCTTTTCTGCTTTATCCAGGGTAAGACCTCTCTCCCACAACAGCTTATTGCTTTTTCCCCAAAGGTGTGTTCTTTAGGCCTCCAACAAATGTGTCTCTAAGATTGACTTTTAAATTTGCAGCATACACACAATGACAAGAATTTCTCCTTATTTTGAGGATATAATCCACAACAGTCTCATTCAACACTGCTTCCTTTCAGGGAATGCAACTCTCTGCAATTCTATGCCTCGCCGTGCCATTATATGAGTCCAGAATACTTAACAGCACTAGGGTCTTGTGGGAAACATTAATTAGACACCATTTCAAGTCCTATTATGATCAGGAAAATATCTGACTATATCTTCATCTCTTATTTTATTCACTTTCAGCCAAATGTATAATTTCTGTTCTTAATTATAGCAGTCTATTTTGTTAGGGCTGCAATATTTTAAGCTACATACTATGCTGACCCATGTACCTGAATATGATGTGCACATGTCCAAATTTCTAATGACTCAAATGTCCTCAAAGTCAGCTTTAGGTGTTCCAAAAATGTGCCATGTTACTCTTCAGTCCTTAATTTCTCAAAAAGATTGCATAAGAAAGTTTAGTCTCAGCCTTGTTACTATTTTTCTGATGTACAAAGAAAAGTTTTCTTTGAATTCGTTAATGGGATATGGGCCAACATTTATTGTCCATCCCTAATTACCCTTGAGAAGGTGGTAGTGAGCTGCCTTTTTGAACTGCTGCAGGCCATGTGACATAAGTACACCCATGGTGCTGTTATGGAGAGCGTTTCAGGATTTTGACTCAGCGACAGTGAAGAAATGGTGATATACTTCCAAGTCAGGATGGTGTGTGGCTTGGTGGGAACTTGCAAGTTTGGTGTACCCTACAACTTCTCCCCTTGTCCTTCTTGTTGGTAGAGTTTGCACAAAGGTACTGTTGAAGAAGCCTTGATGAGTTATTGCAGGGTATCTTGTAGATAGGACACACTGCTACCACCATGTACAGGGAATGAATGTTTAAGGTAATCAACAGAGTGGCAGTTGAATGGGCTGCTTCATCGTGATGGTTGAGTTTCCTGTCTGTAGCTGAAGCTGCAGTGGAGAATGTTCCATTAGCCTCCTGCAGCATTGCCATGTGACTGAGAATATTGACTTCCAACAACCACAACCATTGCCTTTTTGGTTTCAGTTTTGCTAGGCTTTTTGATGTCACATTTGACCAAATCCGACCTTGGAAAGCTGTGACACACTTAGTCATGTGCTGGCTTGATGTCGAGGGCAGTCACTCTCACCTCCCCTCTGGAGTTTGGAGTGTCCATGTATAAATCAAGGGTAATGATGTCAGGAGCTGAGGGGTGCTGGCAGAACCCAAACTCTGAACATTAGTGAACAGGTTATTGCTGAGCAAGTGCCTCTTGATAGTACTAATGATGACCACTTACATCACTTCACTGATGAGTGAGCGTTGACTGTGGTGTGGTAATTGGTTGGATTGCATTTGACTTGCCCTTTGTGAACAAGATGTACCAGGGAAATTTTCCACAGTGCTGGATATGGGCCATCAATGTAAGTGTACTGGAACAGCTTGGTTAGGGCACAGCTAGTTCTGCATAGTACTCCACTGGAATGTTGTCAGGGCACATCAGCTGTCCAGTTGCAGTGCCACTAAGGTAGTTAATTGGGGTTAACCTCTGAAAACTTGATGTGACCCAAGACGGCAGTTTCCTAGTATCTCTACGTTCTCTTCATGTGAGTAACAATTTTCCCCCAGCCATTTCCTCCCTTTTTTGTTCATGGATTACCTTACATATTTCTACAAATGAGAGTATTTTGTTGAAACCAGCATGCAAGGCAATGATTTCTGCACAATGGACTCCAATGTATTCGTGCTAGTCAAAAGCACAACAGATACTAAGTAATGGACTTTAGCTGATTGGCCATCATCGTATTTATATTGCGATCCTTATCCACTAATATCTACAGATATATTACAGAGCCTTGCAACTGTTCTCACTTGATAGCTGGAGATCAGTAATTGTTGTCCAGAACTCACTCTCTAACCCAAGGATTCTTCTAATATTGGGAGAGGAGCTGATTTCTGTGACTCCAAATTCATTTCTTTACTTCTGAATCATTTTGCATTGAATTAGTGTCAAGATTAAAGTTCACTGCATCACTGGAATTGTTTAATGTTAGGTACTGTAGTACTGCATTCAAGAACACAACTGGTAGTACAAGACTGGTAGGCATGGTAGGACAAACATGTATGTGTCAACACACAAGACTTCAGTCCAAAGTTTGTTTACAGAAAAGTCATGACAGTCCCATTTTTCCCTATCTGCCACTTCTCTATTGGGTAAAATAGAATCAGGATCCTGGAAAGAAATAATTGAAAGGTTAATATGCAGCAAATTATAGTTATGAAACACTTAATTATTATCAATTAGGCTTATCATTGCCAAATGCCTGGGATAATAGTATGAAGCCTCATGGAATATATACAAAATTCAAATCAACATTCCCATTCAGTGTGATTTCCCAAGCTTTTAAAAACAGGTTTTACGTGCATATTTGGGATGCATGAGCAACAGCCCTTCAAAACCTCCAAATGTACTGTCTCCAATAAAGCAGAATTAAAACAGTTACTTGACTTACATGATTGGAGTTATATGGATGGATAAAGATAAATTAACAATGTAACTTCTCCACTCATGAACTCACATGTTTCAGTCAAGTATCACAGCTGCAAAAACTGATTACACCTCAGTTTTGAACCTTGGTTTGTCAATTAGCTGATTCCTGGTGCAGCATCAGTTGGATTGCTATTAATGACCAAATTTCTCTCGACAGTTTGCTCCTTTGGACCCTAGCATAAGCTTCCATGGGGCTGCTCTCTTTCCTGGGCATTCTAGTTGTCAGTGCTTTAGATTAAAATGTTTTAACCTTGATTGCTGTGTGACATGGATTCAAGGATGTGGTATTGAAAGTGAAAAAAACCAAGCGCACTGCATTCAGATAGTTGGCAAAGCCAAAATCTCCAATTAAATCAGAATTTTCAGTGCCAAAAGAAATAATGTCATGCATGCTTCAATAAGTCCCACACCTTACGCTACAGATACACACTAGTGATTTTTCATGCGACACTGCCAATCTGTATGTAAAAGGCTGAACTGAGAAAATGTAAGATAACAAGGTGTAGAGCTGGATGAACACAGCGGGCCAAGCAGCATCAGAAGAGCAGGAAGGCTGACGTTTTGGGCCTAGACCCTTCTTCAGAAATGTGTTCATCCAGTTCCTACAATCACTGAGAAAATGTATCCTGGTTACAGACCATGAGTGAAATGAAACCCTGCCTTTTGATGCCCCTGCAGTTTGTTACAAACTGGGAACACAAAGTGAATCCTACTAATGTAGTAAGCTTGATATTGAAGATATCTGAATTACCACTGGGAAATATGGTAGAGGTTAAACAGAGCAATATAACCTGTTTCCATTCCCTTGATCAATGGGTGATCTAATTGGAGGTAATTAAGATTATTAAAAGAGATAAGCAGTCAAAGTTTTGGAGTTAAGGTACAGATTAATGATGATGTAACTGATTGGAGGAACAGATTATGGGGATGAATGGCCAACGACAGTTGATCCAGTGTTCGATGTGTATCCTTGATTCAAATCGGTGCATTATGGCATTGAATATGAAAACAGTGCTCAAATATGTTGTTATCAGGTGACCTCATTTACGACTTTACATTAACTGAGCACAGAGATTCTGAAGAAATCAAGATCTACTTTTTAATCAAAGTAAATGTCTTCAGGTGGTTTAGAGGAATATAGAGTATTTTTCAAATGTTCTTGGGGACTTGATCAATGTTCTTTTTGACTAGATTGTAATTTCAAAATGAATCTGCACCACAACACTTGTCTCCTTTCTTTTGTCTTAAACTATCATCTTTCATCAAAAATTACCTAATTTCTTGTAAACTTACAATTCATAGTCTCTCCTGTCTCTTCCCTTCCTGTTATACAGTCATGTACCTTACATTTCACATTTAGAATGTTCTGACAAAGGGTTATTGAACTTGAAACATTAACTCTGGTTTTCTCTGTACTGATACTGCCATACCTGCTGAGTTTCTCTAGCACTTTGTTTTCCTTTGCATTTATTTAGTGCCTTTCACATCCTCAAGTAATAGCTGAACATTTTGAAGTACTTTTGATGTCTGTTGTTCTGGAAAATACCACAGTTTACACAGCAAGCTCCCACAAACAATGACATAATAAAAACCAGATGATCTGGGGATCGTGGTTGGTAGGTAAATATTGTTGTGGTTGGTTCACTTTCCGAGCTGGTTCGTTAGTTCACAGATGTTTCATTACCCTGCTGGGTAACGCTGTTGTGTTCATCGGAGGCTGCACTGATGATGTTATCCAACTGGGTAATGAAACATCTGTGAACTAATGAACCAGCTCGGCTAGCCAACCAACCACAACATCCACAACCCGAGCTACAAATCTACTCAAGAACCTTGGAGATAAGTATTGTATTGGTTCCTCAGAATAATCATTTTTCTTTAAAATAACTCTTTGAGATCTTTTACATTCATCTAAGAGGGCAGATGGAGCCTCAGTGTGTATCACATTTGCTGTTTGTGGGGGTTTGCAAAGTGTAAATTTGCATCCATGTTCTCTGCATTATAACAGCGACCACAGTTTAAAAGTACTTCTTTGGCTGCAAAGTGGTTTGGGCCCTGAGGTTGTGACAGGCCCTATAAAAATGCAAGGTCAGCACCTTGAATAACACCACATCCCATGCCGCAGAGATGAGAGAGGGCTACCACCGGAAGCACAGATGTGATCTCTACCACAAGACTCTGAACCCTCACACTTACCTGTCTGGGGCTAGACCCAGTTCTTGTGTGAGAAACTCAAAGAACTTGGCACTGTGTTGCTTGTTCTGCTCAGCTGTGCCCACCACACCAATGGAAGACACAACCAGTTGGGCACAGGGGGCTGTGCTGCCTCCAATGGCCATTAACAGGCCTGGTTTCACACTCATGTTAATTCTCTGTAAGCAGAAAAAACTTTGTTTCAGGAATAATATTTTAAAGAGGATCTTAAACTACTCTCACCACCTCACTTTCCTTCCTGGCTTCCATGTTAGTTAATATTGTTAACAGGGCTCAGGTATATCCCTCTCTCCTTCAAATCTGCTGTCACTATCTCTGTTTTTGCAAATTTCTGCCCCAACTCCATTCCCTCTTTCCTTCCCAAATTTGCCTCCTTTTTTTGTGCCCACCTGACCTGGTACTCATGTTTGAATTGCTCCAATCAGGTTTCTCACCCTGCCGCAGTACAGAAATGGCTCTTAGTTATGTCACAAATGACATCCTATGTGACAAAGACAAACCATTCCTCCGCCTCTTTCTCAAGATACTTACCTTTAAAGCAGTAGGCACCTCTCTCCTTCTCTAATGCCTCTCCACCATTGTCCAGCTGCATGGGACTGCACTAGTCTAGTTCCAGTCTTTTCTAATTATAGCCAGAGTGGCTTTTCCTCCCATTCCCACAGAGTGACTTCAGCTTCTCCCAAGGATCAATCCTTGTGCCCTTCCTGTTTCCCATCCACATACAGTCCCTTGGCATTATCTTCCAAAAAGGTGGTGCCAGTTTCCACGTGTATGCAGAATTTAGACAGCTCCACCTCTTCTGACCCCTCAATCCCAAAATTGTCAGGCGTTTATCCAAAATAAAACCAAGAACTGAAAATGCTGGAGATCTGAAACACAAAAAAAACAGACATTGCTGGAGAAACTCAGCAGATCTGGCAGCATCTGTAGAGAGAAAACAGAGTTCCCTATAATTCCCTTCCCAAATCTCTCTATCTCACTTGCCTTCTTTCAAACCCTGCTTTTTGATCAAGGTTTTGCCTATCGAACATAATGTCCTATTGTGGCTTCGAGTCATATTTTGTTTCATAATATTCTGGCAAAACACCATGGGTCACTTTATTAGTTAAAGGTGAAATATAAGTTGTTGTTTAAAAAGAGGAAGGAGTTAGGAAGGGAGGAGAATTCCAGAATTTCCAAGCTTGTCTGTCAGTATTGGAGGGGGAGGTGGGTGATTCTGTGGTATATGGCACTACCATATATGGCAACATGTAAACACCAGGATCATTCTGAGAAGTGCAAATTGATTACACTTCATCTCTTTTCCAGAGACACAAAATTCCCAGTGCAGGTTAAGCTTGTAGCATATTGGACACGTACAAAGTTGAAAGGGACATTGTTAATATGGTTTGAGACCAGCTTGACCACACCTTTGGGTGCATTACAAAGCAGACATAGACAACATACCCCAGTATAACTTCACTGGAATGATTACACAGATGGCAGAGATGGTCATGAGTGAGAACACAAGATTCTTAAAACTTTTGCCAGAACAGCAGGGGCTAAGAGGAGATTTGATAAAGGTTTCTAATGCAGTTTGATGTAACAGGCGTTGGTTTACATGGGCTCTTTGTTTTTCCATGCTTCCAATATAAAATGCTGAACCTTCGCGTTTAAATCCCACATGTTCTTTGTTTTCATCTCTCTCTAACCTCTCCTTTAGTTCGATAATTCTGTGGAAACGGTGTTCTTAGAATTCTGGCTGCGAGAGTCGCTCCCATCTCTTTACCCAATGCTGATAACCGTACCTTTAATCACGTAGTTCCCATACTGGCAACACCCCCACCTAAACTCCCACAAATGCCACTTCCTTGCCTCCTTTAAGGCACCATATAAACCCAACTCTCTGTCCAAGCATTGGATCATCCCCTCTCCTTTGGTGTGACTCACAATTCTGTCTGATTGCCTTTCTGTGAAGTACCCCAAGTCATTGTTACATAAGAATTAGGAGCAGGAGTAGGGCATTCAATCTCTGGGTTCTGCTTCACCACTTAATATGACCATGGCTGATTTCCTCTTGTCTTCAACTCCACTTTCCGGCCCACTCCCCATAACCGTGTAACCCATTATTAATTAAAAATCTGTCTATCTCTTCCTTTCAGTGTCAGGTGCCCACCACATTCTGGGGTAGTGATTTCAACAGATTCACGGCCCTTTGAGAGAAGTAATTTTTCCTCATCTCTGTTTTAAATCCGTCAACTTTAATCCTAAAACTATGGCCTCCCATTCTAGATTGTCCCAAAAGGGAAACATCTGGTCTGCATCTACTTTGTTAATCCCCTTTAGCATGTTATATACCTCGGCTGGGGGTCAGTTAGCTCAGTGGGCTGGATGGCTGATGCAGAGTGATGCCAACAATGTGGTTCAATTCCCATACTTGCCAAGGTTACCGTGAAGGACTCTCCTTCTCAACCTCAGGTTGGTGACCCTCAGGTTAAACCACCAGTTGTTTCTCTCTGAGAGAGCTGCCGTATGGTCCAGTAGGACAATAACAACCTTATATCTCAATTAGATCTCATCTTTCTAAACTCTAGCAAGTATAGATCTAAATGGCTCTACCTCTCCTCATAAGACAAGCCTTTCATGTCTGGAATTAATCTAAGGAACTTTCTCTGAACTGTCTCCAATACAGCCTACAGCCCAATGGCCTAAATGTGGACTTTCCCAGTTTCAAAATCTCCCCACCCTTGGCCTCATCCCATGACCAACCCTCCCTTTCATCCCCGCCTCCTTGACCTGACATAACCTGTCCATCTTCTCTCCCACCTATCCGCTCCTCCAACCCCACCATTGCCTATCACCTATCACTATCCCACCTACCTTCCCCAGTCCCACCCCTCTTCTCTCTGTTTATTTCTGAGCTCTCTTCCCCCTCCCCCATTTCTGAAGAAGAGTCCCGAGCCGATACATCTGCTTTCCTGCTCCTCTGATGCTGCCTGGCCTGCTGTGTTCCTCCAGCTCCACACTGTGTTATCTCTGACTCCAGCATCGGCAGTTCTTACTATCTCAAATACAATTATATCCTTCTTCAAGTAAGGGGAACACTTATATGCAATACTCCAGTAATACCAACCCTAACTCTACCACAGTGTCACCAATACCTTGTACAATTATAGTACTTCCCTACTTTTATGCTCCATTCCTATAGCAATAATGCCGAAGTTCAATTTGTCCTCTTTATTTGCTGCTGTACCCGAATACTAGCTTTCTGCAAATCATGCACAAGGACACCCAGATCCCTCTACACTGAAGCATTTTCAAGTTTCTCTCCATTTAGATAATAAGTTGTCTTTTTAGTCTTCTGGCCACAATGGATAACCTCACACTTATCCACATTAAACTCCACCTGCCAAATTTTGGTCCATTCACCTAACCTATCCATGTCCATTTGTAAATTTCTTACTTCATTGTAACTTACTTTCCCACCTATTTTAGCGTCATCTGCAAATTTGGCTATCGTATATCCAAGTAATTAATATAAATTGTAAAAAGTTAGATCCCAAGGACCTGGTTACATCTTGTCAACCAGAAAAGATTTATTTATCCTGACTCTCAGCTTTCTGTTGGTTAGCCGATCCTTTATTCAAGATAACATACTAACGCCAACCCCATGTGGTCTTGCCTTACGTATTAACATTTTGCGTGGCACCTTATCAAATGTCTTTTCAAAGTCCAGGTATACATCTACAGGGCCCACATTATTCATATTACTTGTTACATCTTTGAAGAACTGTATCAGATCAGTCAAACACAACATAGCCGTCATAAAACCATGTTGACTTTGATGGATTGTATTTGTATTTCCACATGACCTCCTATTACTACTTCCTTAATAACGGATTCTTACTGTATTGCAATGACAGATATTAAACTAATTGGTCTGTAGTTTCTTGCTTCTGCTCCTTCCCTTTTTGAATAAGGGCATTATATTGGCACTTTTCCAATCCACCAGAACTTTATCAGAATCCAGGGAATTTTCAATACTATAACCAAAGAATCCACTACATCTGCTGCCACTTTCTTTGAGATCCTAGGATGTAGGCCATCTGGGGACTAGTCTATCTTCAGTTCGTTGACTTGCTCACTGAGCTGGCTGGTTATCACACAGATGTTTCATCACCATGCTAGGTAATTTCATCAGTATGGGCTCCAATGAAGCGATGTTGTTCTACTCTGCTTGGAATGTATATGATCCAGCCTGTTAAGTTGGGTTGTTTCATGACATGTCTAGCATGGTGATGAAATGTCAGCTCAGCGAGCAAGTCAACAGCCTCATCCACAATCCGAGCTACAAATGTTCACAAGAACCTTAAATTGTCTATCTTCAGTCTCTATAGTTTGCAGTATTTTTTACCGCAGTTATATCAATTGTTTTTAAGTTCCTCAAGCCTCTGCATTATCTTTTACTGTTGGGATGGTTTCAGTGTCCTCCACCATGAAAAATGAGGAAATAGCTTGATTTAGTATCTCTGCCATTTCTGCATTCCCTCATATCAACTCCCCAGTGTCATCCTATAAGACACCAGCATTCGTTTTAGCTACTCTCTTCCTTTTTATATAGTTATTGAAGTTTTTGTTATTGTTTTTATACTTTCTGTGAGTCTTCTTTCATAATTAACCTTCACTTTTTAACTACTTTTTTTTTAGTAACTCTTTGTTGATCTTTAAAAGTTTCTCAATCCTCCAGCCTGCCAGTGATCAATTTTTTTTGCCCTTATGTTATCTTTAACTTCCTTGCTTAGCACATGAATAGTTTTTCACCAACTTAAAATCTTTCTTCCTCTCTGGAATATCTTTTAATTTGGAGGAATTGAATATCTCCTTGAGTGTCTGCCACTGTTCATCAATTTTCCTACCTTTTAGTCTTTCTGCCCAGTTCACTAGGGCCAGATCTATCCACATGTCCATTGTTTAACAACAGAACACTAGTGTGAGACTCAAGTTTCTTCTCCTCAAACTGAATTTCAAATTCTGGCGTGCTTTTATTGGTCTTCCCTGTGATATGGTGATATGCAAATAAATTGTCGTGGCCAACATATGGATGCTGTTGTTCTGTGTAAACTTCTACAGTTCTAATCCTTAGTAACAGACACAATACTCTAATCTTTCAACCAGGAAGACTTACAGAGAACTGGTGCTGATAGAGGAGGTTCCTGTTTCTCTGTGTGATCTGACTTGAAGGTATTTAGAGTATCACAATGGGGCTGGGAGCTTTCTCACAAGCTATCACCTGAAAGCATGTGAGTGAGCCACTTAGCAGTTCTTCATGTTGATAACTATTGCCATTTTATCAAGTTAAACACTAAATGTTCCCTCGTCACACTTGGATTAAAAAGTATTTACTGAAGCTTATTTTCTGTTAACCTGCACCATGGTCTTTGGACTGTACTTAATTAACTAAGCGGTGTGGCTGTCTTTTACAGGGAAGAGAATGTACACTTTGTAGTGGGCTAACAAAAACCCAGCCAGTGTTGATTCTCTAGGACCTAGAATCCAGATCTTAGTTGACTCCTGTACAATGCCCAAGAACTAATTTCCCTCTTGACATGTCTAGGTAATCATCTAACCCATTCTCAAACTTTGTCACGATCTCTGTCTGGTTTGCTTGTTCTGCCAGCATTAGGGTGCCGTGGTTAGCTGGTGCCTCACAGGACCAGGGACCCGGGTTCCATTCCACCCTTGGGCAACTGCCTGTGTGGGGTTTGCACATTCTCCCTGTGTCTGTATGGGTTTCCTCCGGGTGCTCCAGTTTCCTCCCACAGTCCAAAGATGTGCAGGTTAGGTTGGATTGGCCATGGGAAATTACCCATAGTGTCCAGGGATGTACAGGCTAGGTGGGTTAGCCATGGGAAATGCAGAGATATAGAGGTGGGGGGGTGAGTCTGGGTGGGATGCTCTTCAGGGGGTCGGTGTGGACTCGATGGGCCGAATGGCCTGCTTCCACGCTGTAGGGATTCTACGATTAGCATCAGAGATCCAGGCTGTAGTACCAAAGATGTTTTAAATACGCCGCCAGTCGAATACGAACACAAATTCTTGCTTCGGCCCTGACTCTGGTTTAAAGAAATCATAGTTTTGGTGGTAAAGTTAGGCTGGAGCGATGTGCAGAAAGGGTGTGAAGTGCGGAGAGGTAGTTTCATGTATACAGTGCAGCGCTCTCTCTCCCCCCGACCAGTCCCTATAACCGTGCACCCACCTCCTTGGGTTTGTCCAGGATCCTTGCAGCCGTACAGCACAGCTTGTTCAGCAGTTCTTCGGAGAACTGGCTTGCCGGCAGGTTACTCTGCAGCTCAAGGAAGGGCATTTTCACACAACGGCCGCAATCCCACTGTTACAAAGAGGAATGAGTACACTCAGACCGGGAAGTCTACAGGAGAAAAGGCGGAGCTAAAGCTATGGCCCAGTTCTGGTGCAAGGTCACAAAACCCTACAGTTTGAGCTGTCACATTCCCACACGTTGCCAGGGCTGCTCAGTATCCCCCGGTATTTTCTGTTCTCTTTTTTCTAGCAGACATTCCAGTAGCTGAAAAATATTCTTCTCACCTCACCTTTACCCCCGACATTTGCTTTACGCAAAACATTCTTTGTAGCTGTTCCAAAGTCATATTAAAATGCGGGAACAAATCACTCCCTTTCAGTTCTGTGGTTGATTCCATTTATGATTATAACACAACTGTTACGATGCAGGAGGGAGACCATGTGTGGAGCATACCACTTAATTCCAAACCTATGCCTTTTCCCCATACCCTTGGGCATTTTTCTATTTAAATAATCATCTAATACGCTCTTCAATGCTTCAATTAAACTGCCTTCACCACATTTCCCAAGCCACCAGTGTGAAAAAGTTTATTTTTCCTCACATCACACTTACTACTTTTGCAAATCACCTTAAATCTGTGCCCTCCTATTCTTGGTCTGTTGACAAGCAGGAACAGTTTCTCCCTACCTACTCTATCCAAGTCCCCTCATGCTCTCATCCTTCTTCTGTCCAAGGAGAATAATCCCAACCTCTCCAGTCTATCCTCATAACTGAAGTTTCTCATTCCTGGAACCATCTAGTAAACCTCAGTGTACCGTATCTAATGCATTCACGTCCTTCCTATGGTACAGCACCCAAAAAAACTCCAGCTGAGGTCTGACAAGTGTCTTGTACAAGTTCACTATAGCATACTTGCTGTTGTACTCTATGGCACCAATCAATAAAGTCCAGGATACTGTGCATTTCATTAACTGTTCTCACTCTCTGTCCTGCCACCTTCAATGATTTGTGCACATATACATGCAGTCCCTCTGCTCCTGCACTCCCTTTAGGATTGTACCACTTATTTTGTATTCTTTGTCCATGTTCTTCTAACCAAAATGTATCAGAATCAGAATATCCTTTATTGTCACATGGATCACCTCACACTTCCCTGCATTGAACTTCATCTGCCACCTATCTGCCCACACCACCAACTTTTCGACATCCTTATAAATTCTACATTGCCCTTCCCATACTTTACAATGCTGCCAAGTTTTGTATCATCTGCAAAGTATGCAATTGTCCCTGCATGCCAAGATCTAAATCATTAATACAACTCAGGAAATGCAAAGGTCCCAATACTGACTCATATACAGCACAGCAATAGACTCTTCAATCCAACTCCATGCCAACCAGACATCCTAAACTGATCTGGTCCAGTTTTTTTTAGATGTTATTGTCACGTCCACTCAAGTACAGCAGTGCAATGAAAAGTGTATAATGCTGCCGCACATTGCACCATCTTAAGGTCAAAGGTACTTAAGTACAAAAAACTTGGGTACAAAGTAGTAAAAGATACAAAGGTTTAAAAAAATGGTAAGCATTACTTTCACAGAACAAGTAGAAAAATAAAGAAACAAGGTAATATTTAACATCAAAGTCCTTCCTAACATAAAATAGAAAAAACAAAGGAACAAAGGCAAAAGTTCAACAGTCTTTGATGAGTGCCTCCGTTTAACTCGCTCTCCAGGAGATCTCAGCAGGCTGTTCTCAGTGATGCCACTGCAGTATCGGGTGCCCGCTCTTCCTGCATTAGGCTATTTTCCATCACTGCTGCTGAAGCTGCCACCTCCCCAATTTCCTCCTGCTGCCACCAGAACATGCCCGGGTAGGACCCACCTGCACGCCGAGCCAAGATACTGCCAAGCGCAGACACAGCCACGCCAAGCCGAGAGACTGTACTGAGAGACCATCACACCAAGCCGAGAGGCTGTACTGAGAGACCATCACACCAAGCCGAGAGGCTATACTGAGAGACCATCACGCCAAGCCGAGAGGCCAGGCTGAGAGACCATCACGCCAAGCAGAGAGGCTGTACCGAGAGACCATCACGCCAAGCCGAAAGGCCAGGCTGAGGGACCATCACGCCAAGCAGAGAGACTGTACTGAGAGACCATCACAGGCTGGGCTGGGCAGGGCAGAGAGAATGCCTCACTGGGTCTGTGCTGAGGCTGGGATTGAAGAAAAGAAACATTAGTCTACCATACAGAATCTTGTCGAATGCCTTGCTGAAGTCTATATAGACAACGTCTACTGCTCTGTCTTCATCAATCTTCTCTGTCATTTCTTCAAAAATCTCAATCAAGTTAGTGATATGCAAGTTCCCACTCAGAAAGCTATGTTGACTACCCCCAATTAGTCCTTGCCTTTCCAAATACACATAAATCCTGTCTCTCAGAGTCTCTTCCAACAACTTACCCACCATTGGAGTCAGGCTCACCGGTCTATAGTTCCCTGGCTTTTCCTGACCACCTTTCTTAAATAGTGGCAGTGAAGACCATTGCTAGGACTCTAAGCAGGGTCTGAGATTGGCTGGTGGATAAACTGGACCTTGGGGTTGGTTTTACTGGTAATGGTCACTTAAGTGTATGGTGCCAATTTTGCCATCTGATTAAGGATGGTGACTCACCACTGCATGCGCAAACTGAGGCTGATGAATTGACAGCCTCAGTACTGCCTCCCACTGAAGGTGATTGCCCAAGCAGCTGGGAGAAGGAGTGGGCACCTCCATGTTGAGGCATCCTCAATGCGTAAGTGGGAATCTTTTTTTTGATGTCTGGGGAGCAAGCAGTAATTGGGAGTGAGGGACCATGTACCCTCCAATGGCAATTTTGGGGTCAATGGGTCCAAGGGGTGAGCAGGCATGGTTACTATTGCTGTGAAGAAGCCCTTCCATGGGTTTTGGATTCCCCATTTCCAGGAACAAAAAGCCCAGTGCCACCCTGTCCTTCATTGGAAAGCCTTTGGATGGCTGACTCAATAGAGAAACTGAGCTGAGGCCTGTATGGATGCCAGTGAAATGCCTCTGGCCCATGAGCAACCACACAGTGACTGTTCCCATTTTCTGGGAATATTGGCAAGATGTTGAACTTCACTTCCAATGTTTTCCAATGCTATTTCACCAGCCTTCCCTCCTCCAGTGATTTTCAGACTGCTGGAAGTTTTCTTTAGTTGGTAGTTCAGTATGACCCCCTGTTTTTCTTTTAAATGTTCAGTGATTCTGGTTGTGATTTATGGTTCCTGGTCAGAAATCAAATTGCTTTCGAGAGTTTTCTTCCAACTCCTTCCAACTACTCAGTTCCCTCCGACTCGATTCACAAACTTTGATTGGGTGATTCGAGAGTGTTCAAGGTGCACTTAGGCAGTTTCTCCTCAATGTTCTGTGAATATACCTGCTTTCTCTAACTGGTTCTGATATCTCTGGTACTGAGGCATAAATCCCTGTTTTTGCTGGAGCTAGTTTATTCTGTGTATCGTGGTCTCACTACCAGTCATTAATTGATAGAACCGTTTTCCCAGCTAAAAATAATATTGCTGTAAAAGGGGAGCCTGAATGCAAAGAAAAGTGATCACAAACTTTGTCTCAAGGGACATTCTTGACTGCATCTTTTTTCCTTAAATGTGCAGGTGCCTTCCCTTCCCAGCTGACTTCAATCTTCCCTCCCCACCCCCCACCTTTTGCAGGGTTAAGCAGTCCTTCAATCTACCTGCAGCCAAAACAAACCTCCCAGTAAGTTTCCATCCTCCTGCACCTCTCTCTCTCTCTCTGTGAGAAAGAAAGCATTTTTCTCCTGCTGCCATGGTCTCTCGGGGACTAGCGAGGCAGCTATAGCTTTTCCTGCTGAACATTTTGAGTAACAATATTGTTGCATTCCAGCTTTCGCTGTTAAAATGATTTGTCAAATTCTGCCGTATGAGAAATCCAGTTCTTCAATTCCTGTAGAAATTGCATTAAAACATCCCAAATCTTTCAATGTGCATAGGCACACAATGTTTTTCTTATTTACATAGATGTTGTTTATGCAAGCATGGATGCTGTTATAATCGGACAAACCTTCTTCACAATGACATTGTTGAAATTAGCATGGCTGTTACGCACTTTAGTACAAATGTGTACACAGTGCTGATGTTTTTACAGTAACACTATTATTATGCACACACTAGCATTGACACTGAGCATACTAAGCTTCCGAACAGTATAATATTTTGCTAGATATGAATGTATTGTTACGTTCCCATCTTTGGTGATGAGGTGTGAAGTTATCTTTATCTCGAAAGCATTTGCCTCTGTAATGATGAGGAAAATATTTGCTTTATCCTCGTGTTTTTTATTGGCTTTTAAGTTAAAACAATAACTTTAGTCCCTAATTATGCCAGCCCTCTTTGTTAGGCCCAAATTCCCTCATTTTCCCCAAATTCATCTTCAGTAATTTTTCAGTTACTGAAACACGGTGGCTCCGTGGTTAGCACTGCTGCCTCACAGCACCAGGGAACTGGGTTCGATTCCACCCTCGGGCAACTGTCTGTGTGGAGTTTGCACATTCTCCCCGTGTCTGCGTGGGTTTCCTCCCACAGTCCAAAGATGTGCAGGTTAGGTGGATTGGCCATGGGAAATTGCCCATAGTGTTCAGGGATGTGTAGACTAGGTGGGTTATAGGGGGGGTGGGATGCTCTGAGGATCGGTGTGGACTTGTTGGGCCAAAGGGCCTGTTTCCACACTGTAGGGATCCTATGATTCTATGCTGACCTACGATGTACATGTGCATATGGAGTAATCTTTCAAATCACTCAAACTTCAACATATTCAACTTTAGGCATTCCAACTTTTTAATGAAACGTTAATTTAGTAACCAATCAACTCAGATAACCTGCCTAACAGAAACAGGAAGTGCTGGAGAAACTCAGCAAGTTTGGCAGCATCTGTGGAGAGAAAGCAGATTTAATGTTTCAGGACCAGTAACCTTTCTTCAGAACTCCACAAATGAAACCAGACCTGCAGAGTTTCTTCAGCAATTTCTGTTTTTGTTTCAGATTTCTGGCATCAACAGTTCTTGTTACCACATGCCTAACTACTTGCTTTATTAACAGAAGACCCTCTGTTTAAAGAAGAACTTTTGAATACATACAAGCAATGTTTGGCTACTTCCAAATTCCATAGAGTCACTCCACTAAAATTTGTCAACATGCGTCATAAAGATGCCTGTCAATTTCTCTTTGTGTTAAACATTGCTGGGTTTGCTTTAAGATAAATGCAATCTATGTTCAGCAATTCAGTCCAAAGTGAGCAATACCATGCCTTGATGCATCATGCCACCCATAAACCCACTTGTTTAATCTCCACATCTTCCCTCTGTATGACCCACTGCTTTCAGTGGTTTTCAAAACATTTCCATGTGAAATTTTTCACCCTGCAAAAATGTAGCTTTTGATTTGTTGACCTACATTCCCAGGATTATGTTTCTAAAAGAGCTAAGAAGATCACTTTTCCTGCAGTGGGGGAAATCATCAAATCATCAAATCATCCAGGGCAGAAAGAGGCCATTCAGCCCATCAAGACTGCACTGACCCTCCGAAGAGGATCCCTTTCAGTCCCTTCATCTCTCGTAACCTGGTTCTCATAGCTGTCCAATTTATGCATATGTGAATTGAATGGCACCTCATCACTTTCTGTGACTTGTTTGGATTCTGTAAGTTTGTAATCAGTGCCTATTGACTTTGAAAATGCACCCTAAAGTTTGTCTGCCATACTGTAAAATTCCTGATTCACCATGACTATCTGTATTCTTACCTGGACCTTTCCATTCTTTCTACCCTTCTCATATGCCATGTTCCCTGGGTTAAAATGTATATTTGACGACCATATATAATGCCCTAAGAGAATTTTCTTTGAAACCTCACCCCCTTAATGCCCTTCTCCCCGCATGCAGGGCATTCAAGTGCTCAGAAAAAGTGGAATTGATTATAGTCCTTTCCCCAACTGGATACTAATCACCCATTACTGAAGGAATTTTTGGATTTCTCCCAAAAAATAATTGGCGTGCTAGATTTTAGGAAATATCCCATTTATCACCTTATGATTTCTTTCATACACACTATAACTAAGGGGATGGTAATTACCACAGAGTTCATATTTTTACACATATCCATAAATTCATTCTTTTCAAACTCCCCACCCCGACCCTTGGTGTCAGTGAGGAAATTAGGCAGTGCTCACTGCCAGGTCCCTGTCCAAAATAAAATGGAGAAACTCAGATCATCTCCCTGTGGAGAGAGAAACAGGATTTACATTTCAAGTCCAGTGACTGCTTCAGAACTGAAGGGTACTGAAATATAATGGTTTTATGCTGTTGACAAAAGGGTGGGGAGTTGTGAGTGGAACTGATTGTGTTGTGGCCAGAGCAAAGGACAAAAGGGAGTGTTAATGGTTGTAAAGGAGCAATTGAAGTGTGGTATAGACGCTAACAGTAGATGTGAAACGTTAGAAGATAGGTGAACTCTGCTGGAAATAAACCCATGCAAACAAGACAGTCATAGAGTCATACAGCACAGAAATAGGCCCTTCACTGCAACCAGTCCATGCCAACCAGGTTCCCAAACTAAACCAGTCCCACTTGCCTGCATTTAGCCCATATCCCTCCAAACCTTGACAACAAGGTGCAGAGCTGGATGAACACAGCAGGCCAAGCAGCATCATAGGAGCAGGAAGGCTGACATTTCGGGCCTAGACCTGCTGTGTTCATCCAGCTCTGCACCTTGTTGTCTCGGATTCTCCAGCATCTGCAGTTCCTACTATCTCCCTTCAAACCTTTCCTATTTATGTATTTATTCAAATGTCTTAAACGTTGTAACTGTACCTGTATCCACCACTCCTTCTGGCAGTTCATTCCACACATGGGTGTAAAAAAATTGCCTCTTGTGTCCTTTCTAAATCTTTCTCCTCTCACCTTAAAAATATGCCTCCTCGTTTTGAAATCCACCACCTTAGGGAAAAGGCCTTTGCTATTCACCTCATCTATGCCCCTCATGATTTTGTAAAGCTCCATAAGGTCACCCCTCAACATCCAAGGCTTTAGTGAAAAAGTCCCAGCCGACTTTTTTTAACACAAACCCTCTATTTTCAGTTACATTCTGGTAAATCATTTCTTAACCAGCTCCAGTTTAATAATATCCT